GGAAGGAAGGAAGGAAGGAAGGAAGGAAGGAAGGAGAATGAGAATGTGGTTACACTCTTCAAATCTAACAAGTACAAAGAAACACAGGCCTGCTTAAGGGAGCAGCAGGAAATGTGTGGCTTGAGACCCAGCAGGATAAGGATGAGCACCCCTAATTCCCTTAGCCAGCAGGGTTTCAGCGTGAGCAAGAACGTACCAGAGGCAAAATAATCTACAAGGCCTAAGAAGGAACTGGAGAAGGAGACACTATTACTCACAGATGTGAAGGCCAACAGCTCCTCCTCAGTTAGCTTATGAACTGGGTTGTTCTTCTGGAAATTTGTGCTTTGAATTAAAAAAAAAAAAGTTAAATTAATCCTAAAATACATGTTGTAATCACTATCTCTTATAGCACATATTTTAACTCACATACAATAATGCTATGCAATTTTTACAGGCATAAAAGCAAGCTTTCAAAAGACAATAATAAAAATAAAATGGTTGGTGTCAAAATAATTTATCTTATTAGGAAAAAGAAGAAGTCCAAGGCTACAAGATAGTTGAACAGGTAAAGGTGCTTGCCATGATATGCGCCCCTCCAAAAGCAAATGGTAAAAGAAAAAGAGAAATCAAAGTGATACCACTCAACCAAAGACAATGAGAGGAATTACTACAGCGCTCAGTCCCATTTACTAAACTTCTACCACAAACAAATTCCATTACAATCACCAGACAGGTTAAAATCAGTAAATCACCAGAGAGGTAGGACAACAGACACTCTAAGACACTGAAGACACAGTCTAATCAGTGCAAACATTCACATATCCCCAAATGTAACCAGTAATTACATCCAGATTATAGAGCCAAGAAACCTCAGTGAATGAGTGGACCAGGAATGATCCACATAAATATTCACTGTAATAGGAAAACTGCAAATAATCAAAACCTCCAAACGGAAAAAAGACCAACTGTGACATACCCACCCAGTGGAATGCTGCCCTACGGATTGAAGTGCAGCTACAGACTAAAACACAAACCACAGAAACACAACAGAGAGAGAAGTCAATCACAGCAAGCACAGAAAGATGAAAACATGCAAATGGAAACCCTCAGCCTGCAGGGACCCAAAATGTAAGAGTAAACATATCTTTAAAGGCCAGAAAACGACAAACACAAAGCTTCGGGTAGCATGTTCTCTGAGAAGGGCAGAGTGAGGCATGAAAAAAACGCACAGGTTGAACTTTCGATGTCTGCAATCTCTAGTTTACCACTTCCACTTGCTAAACGTGTAACCTAAACTCACGTATTACATACATTATTTTGCACGCAAACATTACACATACAGGAACGACAACAACCAGATGTGGTGGCTCACACCAGAAACCCCAGCACTGGGGAGGTTGACACTGAAAGACGCTGCAAGGTAAGGCCCTGTCTCAAACAGACTGTTTTAAAGGGCTGGAGAACTAGCTCAGTGGTTAAGAGCACCTGTTGCTCTTACAGAGGACCCGGGTTCTGTTCCCAGTACCCACATGGTGGCTCACAACCATCTGTAACTCCAGTTCTAGGAGATCCCATACCTTCCTCTGAACTCATGGGCATCAGGTGTGCATGGAGTACATACACATAAATGTAGGGAAAAGTTATAAAATAAATCTAAAACAATAAAATTTAAAAAGAATGGAAACATAATCCTGTAAAATAGTACTACTTCCTTAAAATTTTCAATATTAAAGATTTTATAAGCATGAAATGTTAATGTTAAAACTTTTAACTGAATCTACTTAGGATTTTTATTATTTTTAATTGACTGTGTTTTCATCAGGTCGATTTATGCATATGAGTACAGGTGCCTAAGGGGACAGAAGCATCAGATCCCCTGAAACTGGAGCTACAGACAGTTGTGAGCCACCTAATGTGGGTACTGAGAACTGAACTTAGGTCCTGGGAAACAGCAGCAAGTGCTCTTAAGCACTAAACCATCTCTCCAGCCCCCAGCTTTTTTTGGGGGGAAGGGGGGGGAGGCAGGTCTTGATCTAGAGCCCTAGATGGTCTAGAACCCACTATGCAGTCTAAGCTGGCCCTGAACTCTGGGGAATGTGCCATATACTTGGCCTGCACCTGTTTTTATTGTCGGTGATAACAGAACAAAATAAATGGAAACAGAACTAAGAAATCATTTAAAACGCACATGTATTCTCTCTCTCTCTCTCTCTCTCTCTCTCTCTCTCTCTCTCTCTCTCTCATAGTTATAGCACAAAGGAATTATGTATCAAGCGACATGATCCACTTAACCCCTCGAGTCCCGAGACACTATGTTCTTTGAGTGAAAAGAGCATTACAAAGTCATAAGACAGGGTAAGAACTTCACAGAAAACGATCAATGCCCACTTCTTCTGCAAAACTTCTAATGGGACAGTGGATACAGAATACCGATGAGGAGAATGCCAGAGGCTCACTGGAAAAGGAGAAAGAGTGAGAACGAACCGAAACAAGTACATATTCTTGGAAGGAAAACAGTCATTCTCAGCTGGAGAAGTCAGACATGCAAGGATAAGGACCTGAGTTCAAACACCCGGCACCCAGATAAAAGCCATTTGTGTTCATGTGCATCTGGAACCCTAGTCCAAGGGGACAGAGACAGGATCCCCGGAGCTCACTGGGCAGTGAATAGGAGAGCACAAGGTTCAGTGAGAAACCCTGTCTCAAAAAAGATGATATGGAGAGAGCTGGTGGAAAACACCCACAGACCACCTCCAGCTTCTACAGGCAGCTTACACAGTCATTCTCACCTCTATTTAATATTTTATAAAAAATCTATACCCAGTTGAAGGTAACCAAAGACATTTGCTCATAAAGAAAAGAGAAGAACAAGCTACAAACTCAACAGACTCTGAACCACAGATCCTTAAATTCGCTGCCCAAGAATTCTCCACCTACTGTACCGGGAGGTTCTGATGAAGAACTTCCCAATCTGAACAATGGTCAGGATGTTCAACACAGCCAAGTCAGCCATTAACCTACCAGACTCCGAGGATGACAGCAAGCTCTTCAGCACACAGGTCAGGCATCTCAAACCGTTCACTGTCGGCTAACTTGATTTCATTCAGAACAGTATCATCGTTGAGCTCAAGATTCTGGCAGAACACAGAAGAAACTATTCAAAACCAAAACTTAAATTAATTCATTCATGCAACAGACTGCGAAAGGAGATGACATTCATGTATGGGGTTTTTGAAGGGAGGCTGGGATATATTATTTTTGTTTTGATTTACTTTGGAGTTTTTATTTTTGTTTAGTTTGGTCTGCTGTTTTGTTTGTTGTTTGCTTTTAAAACAGTGTCTCACTATGCAATCCTGGCTTGCCCAAACTCACCAGGTAGACCAAGCTAGCCTTAAACTCACAGATAACTGCCTGCCTCAGCCTCCTGCATACTAAGATTATGAAGGCATGTAGCACCATGTCCAGCTTAACACACCATTTTACTTCTTAAAGATGATATAGTGTCTGAATATGGTCTTGTGAATACACAGTGGGAACCTAAGTTGTGAGAAGGTTTGCCATGTGCACCTCAAGACCTCAGTGGAAATGACAAGGGCAGAGAATGACAGCTATCACCATGGACCCCATATGCAAAAGCACCTCTGCTGCTATAATTCCCACACATTCTCTTGCTCATCCTTATAATAATAATAAACAACAGATCTGGATGTCAAAAATACTACTAAAAATACTTCTAAAGAAAATCATGCCAGGTGGTGGTGGTGGTGGTGGTGGTGGTGGTGCACGCCTTTAATCCCAGCACTCAGGAGACAAAGGCAGGCCAATCTCTGAGTTCGAGGTCAGCATTGTCTACAGAGCAAGTTCCAGGACAGCCAGGGCTACACAGAGAAACCCTGTCTCAAAAAACCAAAAAGAAAAAATAAAAAGAAAGGAAGGAAGGAAGGAAGAAAGGAAGGAAGGAAGGAAGGAAGGAAG